TTTGCTCAGACTGAAGATGTTACCAGTGTGCTGATTGGAATAAACATAGTACAGCCATCGTCATAGCAATCAGTCACACAAATACTATCTCATTAAGCTTAACTATTGCTGAAGCTGTTGTTGTAAAAGGCTTCGACTTGCATGCTCTTTTCTGGGCTGTTTGTAAACTGAAGAGGCACGGGTATCTATTGTGATGATACCCAGGACAGGAGACAGTAACTGTCTGATAGTGGATGTTAGCTGTCCAACTTTTTTAATAGCCAGTCTTCCGGCTATATCTGATGGCAGCTGACAGGGGTCTTTCATTAAAGTTAAACACTTTCACAGTGGGTTTAATGATGTTTTTTCTCAAACCTTCTGTACTGTGTGTAGTGTTCTCAAGCTTAGTGTGAGGCCATAGTTTTCCCAAGACACTTCACAAGACGATGAGTCAGACAAAAGGGGTGATGTTGCAACTTTAGTGTTAGTCAGTTCAACGGGAACTAAAAGGCAGCCATTAGGGGCTCCCTACTGGGCGTACATTAAAAGGATTTGTAAAACACAGTAACAATGGAAAAGAGTTTTGTCGACAAAGGTGCACCGTGACAACCTTGAGGCCTGAATAAAGCCAGAGCCAGCTGAGAGAATCATCTTAAAAGAAAATATATAAAGGAAGCAGTTATCCTCTCTTGATTGTAGAGGGCTCCTACAGGAAGTTTTTGTTCTTCCAGCAGTGACTCTCCGCTGCGGCTCTGGCCAGGAGGCCTAAGTCATCTTGCCTGAGCAGCACAGATGTTCCACTCTCCTCCTAATGAGGCGCCTCAGCAGGGAGTGCCAAACCTGATAGAAGAGCAACCGGAAAATGGGAGAGTTAGGGTAGAGGTTGGGGTGAGGGTTGATGGCCGACAACCACAACAAATTGAACAAACACGCACAGCATCACTCACCACAGAGGCAGAGTTACGGCAGATTGTGAGTCCTGCACACCATCTTTACTGTTGGCTGTCCTTGCTTAACAGAAAACCATTGGCACATTTAAAATGCTGCATTCTTGTTTGAAACTGGATCTAGATGCTATGTTTCATGTTCACATAGCTGTCTTTCAATTTTTTCTAGAGCTTACTTTGACCAGCAATTGTTTTGATTATTGTCAACACTGCTGTCTCAAAATGTATGTACAATACACAAACAATATATGATACAATAATGTTTTTTACTCAGTCTGAAACTGGAGATGTACTGTAGACACAAAGTACAATCTAAGAGATACACGATTCAATGCAACAAAATACTGCATTTATTAATGTATTTGTGGAAAAGACTCAAATAATATGGCATATTGTGATTTGTATTGCTATGGGATTTTAAAAGATAATATAAGAGAAGATGTACTTTATTGATCCCAAATTGGGAAAGAAAAATGGTTACAGCAGCATAAAAAAAAGGCATTGCACATAATTAGAAATTAAATGAGTAGCAATAAAAAATTATAAAATATACACATCTCAAAATACACTGGGGTTATCTCAGGGATGCTAAATAATTAAATTGAGACCTGCACAAAATACAACTCAAAACATTATGTATCCTACATAGTGATGAGAGAGAAGGATCTTCTAGTCGACATGCAGGATTAACAATTGCTAATTATGTCATTTGCAGAAAGGCAATAACAAAGTGTATGATTTTTGTCACAATGGAAAGAGCACTGAATGACTTTTGCATTTCATGTTTTACAATATGTTAAAATGCTGTGCCCATTACTACGTTTTCATTGGGTGTGGAGTTGGCGTTTTTCAATTTTAAAAGTGGGCTATTTGGCAAGAGCACAATCGGCTTGCCTGTGCAGGGGAGGCATATGATTGTTGCAGTGGAGTGAATTAATTCAGAAGCATTGTGCAGTCCCTTTACATGCAAAACCCATTTGGTCTCCATGGCTCAGAATATCCCCAGAGGTGTTCCTGGCCAGATGGAATACAAACCCCTTTATTTGCATGGCATGCTACACTAGCCTTCACCTTCCACAAGATTGAGATTGTATCCTACCAAACAGTTGGTTAATGAGCTACTGTGAAGCTGTGCCAACATGAGCACTTACACACACCTAACATGATATTAAAAAAGATGTGTTGAGAATATTTGATGCCAAATATGTGTTTGCTGCCTGTTTTATAGCGGTAGTAGATACTATGACTTATACTAGATATTCTTTCATTGTTAAACCATCTGTCCTACCAGATGGATGTAAATATCACTAGGCTTTTGTTCTTGTCTTGGTATACTGATAAAGAACATAATGCACTTTAACTTCTGGGACTCTAACAACATACTCTGAGTCAACGTACTGTATTCTTAGTGTTTTATAAGACGAAATTCTAGATTAACATGATTTTCTTCATCGTCTTTAATTCCGATCTTATTTATTTATTTCATGTGAGCTACAGTATATTTATTGTCATGCTTAGTATTCGTCAATTGAATGCTTAATAATAACAATCATAATTTAAGCAGGAGATAGCCACTCTGGTATTAAAAGTCCATTTAGAGATAGAGATATGCAGTGGCACTTAGAGGCGATACAATTGTGTTGTGTTCTTCTGACTCATTACTTAAGGTTTTTGTAATTTAAGCAATAAACCGAACCAATTACTGAAATCAAATATATTTCAAAGAAATATCTCTCAAAGACATATTAGTCCATGACAGTATTCCAACAAAGTTCATGGCATGTAAATCACAGCTCCATGGGGAACAAGTATCTAGTCTAATATTCTGAAAGTGAAGTCACACACAGGGGCAACAACATATAAAAATGTAGCAGGTGTTCTAGCTCAGTATGAGGGCATGCACCTTCAGTGAGCAAAGGTCTCAGTACGCTAGTGATATTCCATTGCTGAGGGCAAAAGATGATTCATTTCTTCTATTTTAGCTTTGAGACCTCCGGTTCCAGCCCGAACAACAGCTGCATAAAAAATAGGATAGAAAAAACATAAATGTTGCTGGTGGTATCTGCAGTTTTCTCTTCATAAAAATGTTAAGCCATAGGTGGCTGATAACATATTGATGTTTAACCCCTGGATGCCTCTCAGCAGGTAAAAATACCCAAATGTCTGAATATAAACTGGTGGAGACTGGCTTAATTGCTGACAATATATACTCATTTCATGTAGAATATAGCCAAGGGCATGGATTTAATTTCCGATCTTGGGGAAAACAATGAAGTCAGGGAGTCTTCTGTGTATGAATACATACTTTCAGTTATGGATAACGGAGATTTTCACCAAATACCTTTCTTCACCGAAACTTTTCCTAAGGTTCCATAAGTCTTTTTCTGTTTATTTATATATTATTTTTCAATCACTTTTTGATGTTCGCTGTTTGTAAAGCTTATTTTTGCTGCCAGGCTATGTAGAGCCATAGCAAGCTTCAGCAAGCACATGTCCAAAGCCACCCTGTGTAGCCTGAGAGGCAAACACTAAAAAGAAAAAGCAGTCACCAATGTGCTCACTAAAGCTCATGAAGCTTATTGCTATGAGCACAGGGCATCAGCCCAAGGCGGCCTAGATGAGTGCATCTGGATTTGCTTTAAGTCATAGTGCTCTTTGAGCTTGTGACAGCATGTGATAGAGGACACCGTGGATGTTGTGATTTACTCAAATTGTAATTAAAAAACCTTAGATATTTCATTGGAAACTATGCCCTTAAATGTTTAATGTGTAATGCCTGGCCATAGCTCAAAGACACAACATTGTACCTATATTACTGGGTCCATACAATCTAAACTTACAGTGATCAGTTATATGGAAAAAAAAATACTCCTGTCAAACGAAACCATTTTGCTCAAATGTAGCCCTGGTGTGATCACCTGAAGATAGACATTAGCTTTAGCTATGGTCGGGTTTATAGCATCTCTTCTTGAGATTAATGTATTTGTATGCATGGCCCTATTTCAATGTTCAGGTGACGGCTAAAAAAACAACAGCCTTTCTTTGCCATATGTAAGAAATGGTTATAACCATCGGACTAAATATATTGTTATTGTCTGTATGTTCCGGCAAACCAAATCTCCATTCAGAAAGGTCCATAAAGTTTTAGACAAAGTGTTGATGAATTTACACATAGACAACTAGGGCTGCACGATATTGAAAAAAACTGACATTGCGATTTTGTTCCCCCTGCGATATATATTGCGTTTTTTTTAACGATATTTAACCGGATGAAGGTATTGTCCTCCTGTGCCTCAGTGTTTTGATGGTCTGCAAACTAGCAGGGCGGGGCCTGCTGTGATTTGATCAAGAATGATTGTGATTGGTTGCAGACCATCAAAACACTGAGGCACAGGAGGACAATACCTTCATCCGGNCGCTGTGCTGTGTGTTATTACTCCTGTCTACAGCGACAGGTGGAGGAGCAGATCTGCCCTCTCTCATTCCGTGATCAGCGATACAGATCCAGTCTCCATTAGCGACACGCCAGCCCCAGCTCCCCGTAACCACCCACTCTTACGGGCACACGACACACACAAACACCAAACACTTCCCTCCCCATCTTAAACTATGAAAAGTGGGCTGAACCAACAGCAGTTGCTATCCACCTTATGTTTCCCAGCAACAAGGCGAACGCTCACTGCAATGCTTTTGCTTCCTTGACTTTCTGTCTGCTGACTTAAGTTTACACCTGACTTCTGACCACATGTCACCTGCATTTTGTTGAAAATCTTACATGTTATCTTCTATATTAAATATTAGAATTGTCGTATACAACATACACAACGATTATACAATCAGAATGAGCAATCCAAACAGTAATTTATTCATCTCTAAACACAAGTTAAGTAACCATTAAGGCCCTGACAAACCAAGCAGCACCAGGAACTCGCCCGGCGCTGACGCCGATGTTGTGTCGGCGCGTCGTTCTCCTGCGTCTTGGCCATGTGTCGCACTGGAACACACCGCAAAGACTTCAGCCGAGCACGCTAACGAACTGGCATGCTATGAGTGGCAATAACTCTCCTGACCAGCATGGCGGCTCAGGGTAGAAGTTGTATTCGTCATTCAAAAGAGGCAAAACCGGAAGACAGAGAAGAGAACGGACTACGTGATATAAACAAACAACACAATGGCGTGTGTGTCTCCATTTCACGTCTCGGTCCATCGACAACATGTTCGTGTACTGGAGCTATCAGGCCATTGCGAGGTGCTTGCTTGTGGACGACATTTCAAGCAACCGTTTCGCTTCTCATCCACTGCATTCGCTAGCTGACAGCCAATCAGAGCTGACTATCTTGTCTGACTGCCTGTGGCCGACGCGACGGG